TATTTTAGATTCCTTTGAAGAGCCTTTACATGAACATTTTAAAACATAAGAGTAAACTTGAAAGCACAAAATACTGAAGGTTGAAAAATATTACCTGTTTTATTTAGATCACTTTATTGTTTACAAAAATAAGTCCCAGTAAATGAGTGGTATATATTTGCCCATACATCTCACTACTGGTTACTGGGAAGAACTTTTTTTTGAAACTAATTATTTACAATGTTATCAAGGGAAAGTTTGTTGCAACAAAATTTATCCTTTTCAGAGAAACAAACATAAGTATCATAAATATGATTCAAGGAAAGAGCCCTTTTGCAATTCAGTTATTTTTCTAATTAACAAACAGGGTATTTTTGAGCAACTGGAAATAACTGTAATGATGTTGGAGTGTTGTGGAAGATGAATAGTGTTTGTTAAATTTAGACATCAGACCATTAAAATAACTTCTGTGTGTGAGGAACAACAGCTGGCCTTACTAGGCGTTTTCCATTAGTGTTTTTGTCTTAAGAGGGCGCACTTAAGTACTAAGAGAAATACTATGTGTGTTATATGCAATATTGTCCAACTTTATGTACCTAAAACAGGAGGGTTTTGAAACAAGATTGAAGAAAAGAGTGTGTCTTGTTTTCATTTTGGTGTCATTTTCTTTGCATACATATTCTTAATTCAGGTTTAGGTGTTTTCTTTGACTCATTTTCTGGTATCCTACAAATACATGAGGAATCTATTTCGCTGCATTCATCACAGACCAGAGAATAGCGCTATTCTCTCGAAAAAATGCAATACAGCATTGTTTTTCATTTTGCACACAGGCAACTCATTTAAGGAATTTTTAAAAATAGCAGTTCAAACTGAATTAATTTAGTAACTTTCAGGTTGAATTTAATTGTAATTGATAACATAAATTTTACTTTTACAAAAAGTGGTGCATGGTAAAATCAAAATGTAGTTTATAATTTTTTACACCATAGAGATAGAACAACTACCAAAGTAGTGAACATTCTTTTTGATGAAGTGTTCAGTATTTGATATTTCTGAAGGAATGAAAGGAATGAAAAATTATGTGTTGGTCAAGTACGTTATATGCTGTTTTACACTTTGAGGTAAAAAGCAATAGCTGCACTCTATAAGGGTTTGCAAACTTTGTTTGGTTTTCTGCTTTCTCTATTATTATACTTTTCTACTGATTCCTGTATATTGAATATTTGAAAATTATACTAAGCAAGTATGGTATAATGCTTGCATTCTTCCATGACCTCTAGTCATTAGACATCATTCTAAGCAAGCACAGAAGAAAAATTGGACTGCAGATTGTTGCTGCATGCTTTGGAGTTAGTCCTGTGAGTTACAAATTGCTGCTTCTCCTCTGGAAAATGTGAATTGGTTAGAGATTCTTTCCATGTGCTCGTTATGTCATAAATTAGTTCGTGATGAATCCTGGCCTATAGCACCGTTTGCTCACCAGCATATATACATACATATATATATATATATACACACACACACACACACACATATAGCACATATATACAATCTATCTATCTATCTATATATATGCACGATCTGCTTAAAAAATTTTTGAAGCAATTTATTCTAATGAAAAATATACGTGTGAAAGATCTTTAAGTAGTTAGCACAGGTGCATTCGTTTGCAAATGCATTTTAGGCCAGTCTGCAGGATTCAGTCAGTAGCATAGCTAAACTATAACTAAACTGTAACTGTAGGCTAAGCTTTACCTAAATATAGCTCTTCATCTCTTTCATAACAGTCTTAGCTGTTGCAGTATCTTAGTTTACTTAGAACTGGCAAACTGCTGTTATACAGTTTTCTTAGGTCTACAAAGTAATAAGATACTCAGCATCAGCAGTCTCTGAACCTTCTGGTGTTTGTTTCTCATATTAAAATACTTGTTTTTGATGTTTTCTGTGTTTATTTCCTCTAATACCATTTGCCTTTCTCACTAAGATCCTTATGATTTTTTTTTTCTTGCTTTAAGATGGTTATATGTGGGGGTATACTTCTGAATAAGCAAGTTCAGAAGGAGTAAGTGATTGCAATCTGGATGATGACCTTGGTAATCAATTGCGTTTAAGCCGTTTTGTCTCATATGAGCTTGTAAATTTAATATTTTTACTGAAGATAGACGTTACTAGGACTTCGTTGATATTTGCTCACTTCAGATTGCTTCTAGTGGGTAGATGAGTAACTGCTCTACAAATTTAACATCAGAATTAGCAGGGAGAATTTCTAGCAGTATTCCATTTGTATTGATAGTAATTCAAACTGATAGTTGACACAGACATTCAAAACCTCTTTGAACGACAAGGTATTCATTGACACATCTGAAGAATAGACTTCAAAGGTTTTGTTAAAACATCAGTGTTAATTTCCTCAGCCTAAGAGGTGGAATATTGATTGTTCTCATCCTCGTGTTTGTGAACATGCAACTCCCTGAGAAAAAAACTTTAAAAATACTAGGCCAAAGCCCAATCATTGCTTCTTCCCATTTCTTACTGAATTAGAAAATGCTATGAAGAGATTTTTTTATTCAAAAAAAAAAAAAAAAAAAAGTAACGAGGGAAGGCAGGGAAGCGGAAGAGGGAATTTGGTTTCTTGAATTTATTCATCAGTACTTGTTAAAACACATAAACTCCAGAGAAGCAACACTTCCTTCAGTTCCTTCTAATCCTGCTTTATAGCTTTTAAAATATGTCTGTAAAGCTTTTTTATTATCTGAAAATTATCCCAGAAACAAAGGATTCACTGCTATTTATTATTAGATAAATTTTGACATTTTAACCTGAGGAGGAGGAGGGACAAAGGGAAGGATTTTCTCTTTAGTTCGTGGAGCTGGAAAGTTCAAATCCTTAGTATATTTTGAAGGCATGAGAGTTTTGCAGTCTTTTTTTACAGTAATTATTTGCAGTTCTTGTTTTAGTGCTTTCACTTTGTTCATTAATTCAGTAGGTTGTATTTTTGAGAGAAGCAGCCTGTGATGAGTATCTTCCAGATGTGGGCTCTATGATAACAACTTAAAAAACAAACAAACAAAAGTGCCCCAGACATTCAGGGAATTGCTTCAAAAGTATTTGAACCAATGTTCAAAATTGCAAATAACAGTATTTTATAAATTTGTATAAACATATTATTGAATAAACGTGTTCAAGAAGGAACAAGCCATTCTGAAGATGTTATTTTTTATGCAATGAAAAGTTAAGTTCCTTTTGTGAAACGAAACTACAATTTTTGGTAACTAGTTATTTATAGTCCATGCTTGTGTACTTCTGTTAATCAAAAAAACATCTAGAAATCATTGCTTTCAAACACATCACTATTTTTGCTCTATCAGACAGATTTGAGTTGAAAGGATGGTTACTGTCAGACCCATGCCATGATGTAGAAAATGGCTTGTGTCTCTTTGTGCTTCCCTGTTACTGGTGGCAGATGAGAGAAAGGCAAACTGATATGCTAGGCAGGCATATGGTGAAGAAGAGAATCAGTTTACCTGTGGAAACTGAAACATGAGGCATGATGTAAGGGGTGCCTCCAGTCATGGCCTCACTCCTGAGCAGAGGTTCATACCCACCTAATGATGGAGTAGAATGAATTTATGTACTTGTTGTGGGCATGCCTTTTCTGCAGAAGTACATATTCAGTTTCTAAATAAATCAGATATGGGAGATGGATTTAGAATAAGGAACTTTTTCAAGGGAGCTTGAGTCTGTCTACATCTGGTAAAGTGACTTGTGCAGCGTTTCCCAATCTACCCTTCCTCTTCAAACCTTGTATGAAAAACGGTGGTGGAATCCCAGCAGTACCTGCACTAAATTGGGTGTACGGATTGTAGGAATGATCAAGGAATGCACTGTGATTTATTGCTAGGTAGAGTTTCCAGGTCACTTAATGAAGTTGCAGCCTGTTTAAACCATGTCTCCTGTGTGTCTGTATGGCTGGGACAATAGAGACAAGTTCCCAGTTCCATCTAAGACAGTATAATGTGATAGGCACCTAAATGAGTTGCCCTTAAAGGAAAGTAGCAAACTGCCGTAAAAAAAGAGATTAGAAAGATGAAAGATATTTAAATTAAAACATTTTAGGTTTTTTGAATTATTTTTTAGTTCCATGAACTGTGATTCTGCATTGAAAAGAAAGTACTGCTGGAGATAAAATGAATAATACTGACTTAGAGATAACATGAAGTATATATTGCTGAAGTAAAAGTACCATTGTTGGTAACTTTTAAAGTTTTACTTAAAAGTGATCTGAGCTTAAATAGACCTTTTATTTATAAAATTTCTTGAATAGTGGAATAAGTCATGTTTGGAAAAGTAAAGTAGGAGTTTAATTTACTGTTAGCTGTAGCTACTTTGTTCTAACCTTTTTGTTTAGACTATTCAGGTTTTGATGAATTTTAACCAAATCAGTTTTATATTTAGTATTTTCATCTAGAAAGCATGGAAGCTGTTCGTATTACTCTTGGTCTTATATTTCACACTGTAATACTCACAAAGATAACTATTTTAAAACTTAATACGTTTTGCTTTCCAAAGGACTACTACTGATGATAGTCACAATTTACTAAATTACAAATGTATTCTGTTCCTATGGATTTCTGAATGGAAACTCCAAGACTGGAATAGGTGCTTTTTAAATGTGTGGCAAAAGGGCACATTATTTTTTAAAATCCATGAATTAACTGTAATGTCTGAACTATTTTTAGCTGTTATAATGTTGTCATTTTGTTGACTTTTTATAACTCCTGTTTTCATAATAGAACTACACAATATTGTTGCACTTTTTGCTTGTAAAAGATCATATTTAACAGACTGAATACATTTGCAATGCATGTAATTTCACATCAGTTTAACATGGAGCATGAGTAAAATGTTGCCAGAGAAGTATATGCGAAGGATTAATTCTCTGCTTAGCTTTTTACATGATGATGTTAACAGTTAGATACATAAAGATTTTTTTCATGGTGTTTTGTTTTCTTTAACAGGACACTACGAGTATAGAAAAAATGTCAAACTGTTGTGAAGATATGTAAGTACTATAAAACTCCTAAATTTGCTTCCTGAAAAATTAGAGGAATGGCTGTATGTTGTAACTATGTGAGAGGAGAATGGAAGGCACTGTTAAGAGTATTTTGCATGCTGCAGTTCTCTGTATTTCTTATCTGCAGCAGTGGCTCACTGATCCTTTAATATTGTTTTACATGAAGTAGCCTTGATTTATTTTTATTCCCTTCTTACCCAAAGTAGGTAAAACAGACTTTTTTTTTCAAAAGCAGAGATCAAAAGCCACTTGCTGCTGTGTTGTTGATGTACGTTTCATTGATCCTGAGGTTCTCCTGTGCTTCAAAAGTTGCCTTTGGTTGATTGACGACACAGACTGAACTTTGGAGAGAAGAAACTGTCTCAGCTGCGTGCTATAATGAAAGCAAAGCTGTGTTTGTGGCGCAGGGACACAATTCATCAGAGTCCAGTAATGGACCCCTAGCCAACCTGTATTGTTCTAGATGACTGAAATGCACCATGGGAGTGCTGTCTTTCACTAATAATGCTGTTTTTTGTAGATCAAGGCCCCGAAAGCCATGGCAGCAGAGCTTATCTGAAGTTTTTGGCACTCGCTGGAAGATCCTGTGGTTTATTCCTTTCAGGCAGAGGCAGCCACTGCGAGTTCCCTACCACTTTGCCAATCATGTCTAAACAGATGGATGGTGGGCACAGATGCGTCCTCTATGCTGGAAGTGTGTTACAGGTTTTATGATAATAGGACTGTGACAGTCCTCAAGTCAATTAAAATCCACCCACCAATCTTAGTCATCATAGTGTGCCCCGGGCTTTATTTTAATAGTGGTCCGGATTTTGTTGTGGGATTAATAAAAGTTACATGTTTAAGTTAAAGCATATTTACTTTAGGATTAGCTTTCTAAAGGGATTTCTTTATTGTTTGACAATGATGTCAAAAATAAATGCCTTTATGGATTTGGTATTGCCTATTTTTTTTTTCCCCCTTTGGTAGGAAACACTGAAATTTACATTGATTTTTAGCATTCCCACTATGTAATCTCATGCTGCATTTAATTTTATTACTGTTCTTTTTTTCTTATCAATAGATGTGTCTTGTTGATATGCAGGTCATTTTTCTGGTAAACATGTTTAATATCCCTTCATATTTCCTTGTATTTGCTCTGAAAAGCTGATATTTGAAACTGAGGCAGACTTCTGTTTCTTTCTAGTAAGAGTTTTTATAAGTACCTATATGTGTATCTGTGCAGTCATACAGAGATCTTACGTCTTAAATTATCATTTTATGTGCATATGATCTTAGTTAAAGATAATATTTATTATCATTCATGTCTCGTATGTCAGCAAAAGCTATGAAATGCGTTGAGGGTAAAATAGACAGGTAGTAAGCATGCTTTCCCCCTTTTCCAAAGGGTTTCTTTGCAATAATTCAACAAGGAAGCTGTATGGTGCAGATATTAGAAAGCATATACTTTTTTATCAAAACTGATTTAATTAACATAGTAATGGAGAATGCTATGTAGTCATAAAAGTTTTGCATTTTATATTTTGTTTAGTCATGACTAGCTGGAATTGATTGTTATAGGTGCTTATAAATGAAAATATTTTAAAATATTTATATATAAATACAGATATTTGCTATAAGCATGTACAGTAAAGTATATTAGGTGATTTAATGGGATACTATGTTAATGTATGAGAGCTTTATATTCTTTTTGTGGGCCCTTTCTTCATGGAAGAAATCAACCAAAGTCGTCATCTTTAAGATTAGACCTGGTGAATTGATAGTGATTCACAAAGTTTTGCCTTCGTTTTACTGGGTCTGGAAATACCATGTAATTTATTATTCTGTGTCTGGACAAATATCAGTATGAGATGTTTGTGATTCTTGGAAGTTCTGTGAATTTTTGAAAAATTCATACCTGAGATTTTTGCTGCTGACTGTGTTTGTTTTCTTGTACAACAACAGGACTAATATCCTTCTCAAATGACATTCCCGCAACATGATAGTAAGAGGTACAAAGTCAAGGTGTACAGTACATAGATTGTATTTGGAGAGAATCGTAACTCACTTCTGAACAGTTCATTCAACGCAAAGAGCTAAATTTTAAATGATGGCTTTTCATAATCAATCTTTAGATCAGCTCTTTTAAAACCTTAATGTTGCCTATCTTGGGCACGTCGTCCTTTAGTAGATTAAAATGGCGTGATGATGCAGTGAAAGTTCCAAAAGGGTCATTTTAAAAACTACTTGCTTTTAAACTTTTTGCAGACTTTTGAACCAACTTTACTACTTCCGCCCTTTGAAAATAGATGCAATACTTCCTTCACTTAAGTTTCAAGCCTTATGGTTAACCATTCTTTTTAATCGTTTGCACTGTGTTTTTATAATTCAGTTTAGATTTTTTTAAGATGCTGTGAGCAGCTAGCAACCAAAGCTAGGCATGAACAAAGTAGATGAAAGGCTTGCAAGTTCAGATGTGCACACATGCATTATAAAGTAGCTACTGAATTCTCTCTCTCTCTCTCTCTTTCTTTCTTTCTTTCTTTCAAAGAATTCAATTGCTCTGTTCTTTGTGGAATACCAGGGGAATATTAGGTGTCACCTTTGATCGATGTGTCAATATTAAATCTGTTTCATGACACAAAACAAAGTTAGTTTTCTTTTAAGTTTTTCATGTTTATCAATTTTCAGAAATAGAAAATCATGCAGTTCTGAAACGTTTCATTAAGAGAGGATCAAGAATTTAACTATTTGTGATTCACTCATTGTGGGGCACAGAATTATTCTCTGTGTTCTGGTGTATCATTCTTTCTAGTTATTTAGTTACCTGTGGGGAAGTAAATCTGTAGTACATAATCTGCTGAACTGTAAGAAATTTAGTTATAACTTGTATTTAGATTTTGATGTGATTTAGACAGTGAAGTAAAAGGAACATTAAGTTTTCACTGGATAAGAATCCATGAATACTCTAATACTCTGTACAAATAAAAAGGAATTTGAAACACTGAAACTAATCCTAGAATAACTCATATTGGAAATAAACATGGTCTAGAAGTGCTGCAGGCCGTGCATGCAAACAGTCATTAATGTGTTTATGTGCCTGACTGACAGGCAACACTCAAAGTTTTAAGCCTGGGACATGTGTACATATTTGATCTTTGGCAGTGATATGCAATGTTTTAAAGACTGAGGCTAACGTCAAAGCCCACATGCATTAAAGCCTGCGTGCAGCCTGTCCTGCCTTATTCCCCAAGTGCCCTCTTTCGGCCGCGTTGTGCAAAGACCGTTCACCCTTGGGCTGCGGCAGGAGCGGTGCTGGGCTGTGGCCGGCGGCGGCGGCGCGCCGGCGGCGCGGCCCTTAGTAACTACGTGAGCGGCGAGGGCGCCCGTGCAGGCCGGCGGACCCCTCTGAGGACCCTTAGGTTTGCAGGTGCTGCTTTGGGGCTGCCTCGGATAAAAAGCGTATCAGATTTTCTAGGAAATCATCAGAACAGGTCTACAGTCTTATTGCTATGTCTGCATCAAGTAGCACAACGTCGTTTGCATCTGTCCCTGGCTTTTCTTTCCAACAATAGATTATAATTAAAAAATAAAATGTAAATGCCAAAGTACTTATTTAAGCAACCCAAAGGTGAAAACTGTGGCTAGAGTACCAGGTATGCCTTCTAGTGAATGGTGTATTTATATCTTGCCTGACTCTCACATGAGGATACTAATTTCACAGTGTAAGGTTCTGAAATGTTTGTATTGTGTGTATATTGATATGCACAAATATATTTCTTCTCACTCTCCCATTCACCCCTAAATATAGGAACTGATGTGTAATTAAGGGAACTATTTTACTTTTTAAACCACTTTGGCAATATTCAGTATAGCTTTCTAAATTTTGTAGAGGAGAGAAGAGAGAAGATAGAATTTGAAAAGGAATGACTTCTAGGAAGTCATGAGTTTTATTTTCTTAATAATAGACCTCTAAAGAGTAAGTTATACAAATCTTGAAAATCTAGCAAATGAATATATCATGTTACTTGGTTACTAAAGTAATTTTCTAAAATTGATTCTCAGAAAGAGCTGTTCTAGCAAGAAAAGATGTTAAACTTTTAGCAGTGAAATCATAGACCTGCACTTTGAAATCTCAATTCATTCCCTCCAGCCCTCCTTCACAGTATTTTTTGTTGTTGTTTTGAGTTGTTTTGTTTTTTCCTTTTGGAAGAAATTCCATTCTTAAGAATGTTGCTGTAGTTATTGCTCATTTCAAAAATCTTTTGGAAAATATTAGTGAACTTCATTCTGTTAAAGTATTCAGAACTATCCATGTTTCACTGAGTGTAGTGTGTGTTGCAGTTGGACTTAATGAATTGATTTCCTGAGGAGCAGTGATGAAAAACAGTCAGAAAACATTTGAGAACAACTGTATTGCTGTTGAAGTGCTGGATAGTTAATGGTAAGACTGATAGTACCGTTCAAATTCCTATCTTTTGCATAATATTAGAGATTTTCATTTGGAAAATCTTCATGTCTAAAATAGAAGATTCTGCATTAAATACTTTTCACAAACGTATCCTCTGTTCTGTCCCTCTAAATCGCAAGGTTTCATCCAACTCAATGTTGCTGGTAACAGCTGGCAGAGTAGCTGAGGGATACAGCTGTTTGTAGGCTTGAGCGGGGTTCACACGAGCAAGATGAAGACCTCTAAGTTAAAGAACTTAGAGCAAGGGGAGGCTTCAGACCAGGCTGCTTACAGCTTTTCTTGGATATAAGAGGTTGTTTAGTATGAAGGCAAGATTCATAAAAGCACAGGGGAAATTGAAGGTGGGACCAAAAGAGTTGCTTTGCCTCAGCTTTGCCAAATGGAGTGAGATTACAAGGAGCATGAATTGTGTGGTTTACATGATATCTTTATTTTGAAATCTTTAAATGCTTGTCTTAAAATTGTCCCACTTTATTCAGTAAATGATACTTTTCAGAAAGAGTTAAACCATATTTTTGTTTGTGCTGTAGCACTCCACTGTATACCTATGTAAGGAATGTAAATGACAGACAGTGTTTCTGTAGGACTGCTAAAGAGAATCTGCCCTGTGTCAAATTGGCATTCATTGGAAGTGCAGTATGGTAGGATGGCTTTCTGGTAACCTGAAATTGTTAGCTCACATAAACTATTGTATAATGCATTATTTAATTGGCCAGTGCGCTTGCCAGCAATAGATCACAGTGTCACTGTCACTTAAAAGATGTATTATTTAACTTAGTTATTATTTAACTTAGTTATTATTTGTGCACCTCTTGTTTGCCACACAATTTTGCAGTTGCTCACAAATAAGAAGCCTTTTTAACTTGGTTGGAACAACCATATTGAGTCGTCCCATGACGAAGGTGCTGTTCTGTTCTCTTTACTTCAAGAAATTACTAGCTTTCTGTTAACATCGGTCTCTCATACCTAAAGTTAATGTCTGCAGCCAAAGATGTGGATCTAACAAAGTGATCCAGCTGATCATTGTACCTATCCAGCACTGCTAACAGACAGAAACTTAGTCAAGTTCATATATGCTAAGCACAAGCCAAATTTTTAAGTTTCTCAGGGGTTGTCCCTTCCCAGTCACATCATTCCCCTTTGGACTGGATTTTCTTTTTTTTGTCTTTAACATAAATTGCTGTTAGTTTTACCAGATAGCATCTTTGTAGCTCTCCATTAGCTCTTAACTATGCTGATGGTTCAGTAATGAATATATTGTGCCCATTATTGAGTCCTAATGGGCCTCAGGTTAATACATCCAAGCTGCTTCCCTTTTGTGAATGGGCAAAAGGTAGCAGCTCTTTTTATCACCTTTTCAGAATGTTCCTTAATTGCCCTTAGATTTTGTGGTGTGCTAACTTCAGTAAATACTTGAAAAACCTGTAAAGCAGGAGGTCCCATATTTTT